AGTATGTCGCATGAGGCTTATAACAGCGAAACTGGACGATTATGAAGTCTAATCCGGGGTACGTTCGATTTGCCTGCACCACTTGAACAGTTCACGATGAGCTGCACCTTGCCATTCGTTCCAGCGGCGCAGCAGTGACGACCTGTGAACAATGTCGTTCGTTTCAAAAGGTGCAGCGTTGGTTCACGATTTTCCTGCACCTACTACACTCACGATACCGGCTTGTTGCAGCCGCGCGCGTGCAGCTGAGTAGACGACGCAGCACATATAGGCGTATAGTCGTCGTACCCGCCTTAACGCGGTGTGTCTTGCCAAGATGCTTGCGCCTCACAAGCTGTCCACATGCGCGGTTTGCCGTCGGTCGGCGTTAGTTGGACGGCAAAAGTTAAGCGAACAGAAATAAGGCCTGTACCTTGTCGGCACCTCGTAATTCGTTTAGGGTGTCGCAGTGTGCCTGCACCCCTGAACTCGCGCTGCGCCATTTGTGAACTTCTCCTGCACCACCGTGACCCGCTTTCGGCTGGTACAAGTGAATCGAACGGACATCTGGTTGGCTCTAGGTTGTCCCTAGGGTTTAGTTAAGTGATGATAGGTTGCTTCTAGGTTGCTGCTATGTCGATTTTGATCGCAGAGAGGTTCAGGACAGTCACAGACTCGACGCGGGTGTCCAAACTTAAAGGACACAAACTCACGCTGAAGCCTAGCGTCGTACTTCTCATTGATCTACGGGCCTTTCGTCATATATAAGCGCAAGCCTTCCATCGCTTCGGGGTTTTCTCGCAAGCACCGTTGCTTTTCCAGTTTTCTAGTATTTTCTCTTTGTACGTGCTCGGAGTCTTCGCTCAACCGCCATTTCTTCACGGTTATTTGTTCGAATAACTGGTGCATGCCTAATTTTTAGCGGGTCAGTGGTAAGTAGTAGTATTTGCCCTATTTCTGTGGAAAGTACTCGTTGGTGATGATGAAAGTTGTATTTTTTTGTCATACATTTTAGCTCCACCTTTAACACTTCGCCATTAGAAAACGTTCTGATAGAATTGCATTACCTCTTTAGAGCTGCAGTTATTGGGCCGCATTTTTCAACTCTGCGTATTTCCACCACTGCTATGATTGCGCGCGTAAAATGTACGTTGTTCAACGAAGTTCGCAGTCGAAACCACGCTCAGTACGCAACGACTCTCCGGAGACCTAGTTACTAGTTCCGCAATCTTCGGTGCGCAAACTTGGTCCGGCGCTTATGTATGTGCATAAAGCGGTGACCCATATGCCGTAGCCGCTCGCTTATTCTCGTCACGCACCCGCGCGCTTTTAAGGTCGCGAGTGAAAAATTTGTTCCCTAAAGCTCCTCGCGGGAGATGCGGACCCCGACGGCACTTCGCGAAGTCGCCGAGGGACGCCGCCGTATAGCTGCCTATGCGAGATAAAACGGTTCCGCTCCTCGGTGACTTCAAAAGTTTGAATCCAACTTCGGAACCAGCTCTAGAGAGAACTGCTTCTCCTCTCAACGTAGTTTGATTGTTTGTTCATTTGTTCGTTTATTTGTTTGTTTGTTTGTTTTTGCATACCCAGTAATGCAAAGAATAACCTTGCGGACTATAGAAGAGGTGAATCGATTCGTACCTTACTTCGCTGTACTTCACAGCAATGTTTTGTACACACTGCGCCATGTAGCGTCTTGGAGGCCTGGCCTCCAAAAATTGAAGCAAACACGATGATTTGTGCTTCTTAATGATTGCCGCAGTGGTTCTGTTATTTTCGTAGAAAAGAACCAGCTCTAACTAGTACGAAAAAACGTGAATTCACTGTCCTGAAGACGAGAATGATGTGAAATGGCGCAGTGGCAAGTCGCTCGCGTTGAAAAATTTCTTGCCAGAGCATAATTAAATACTGTTACGGAATGATACTAACACTGGCTAGGGCGGTCCTCTGCGAAATGATGAAGACGACATTTATCTTTGAAGCACATGCACGTGAAGCTGCTCAACCATTTTTGGTTTGCTGCTGCAGCAATCGTAAAGCTTTTATAAAATGCACCCTTCGTTTCTGTCACAATATCACAAAATTTTTATACATTACATGTCCCGAAGAGCCGTCAAAGTCGGGCTCTACATTGTTAGCTTTATTCTGAAATATAACTATTACTATCCAAAACAAAATAACACCAAGAAATGATAAGAGCAGGCTTTGCCTCCTCCGCTAAAGTTTCTTTCTTAATGTATAACATAACTTTAGGTGCATGTGATATGATAAGAAGTAGGTACAATCACCAAGGTGACTGAAGTTATTTCAAAGACACCCCCTGCACATTCTCACATAGCCATATCATAGTTTTGCACCGTAAAACCTCGTACATTCAGGGTTTCATTCATGTAATGATTGATATGTGGGGTTGAACGTCCTAAAACCACCATATGATTATGAAAGATGCCGTAGTGGAAGACTCCGGAAATTTTCACCACCTGGGCTTCTTTAACGTGCGCCAAAATCTGAGCACACGGGCCTACATCATTTTCGCCTCCATCGAAAATGCAGCTTCCACAGCCGGGATTTTATCCCGTGACCTGCGGGTCAGCAGCCGAGTATCTTAGCCACTGACCACCCTGGCAGGGCAGTTTCATTAATGGAAGTGCAGTTATTAGAACTGTTGAAATTACCACCTCAACTTAATATATTATTTTTGGTGGGATGGGGTTTAATCCACAGAAAACTGTTACGCTCGCACTACGCAGACCCCGAAACAGTGTTCAAGCAATATATCGATTGTTTTAAACTATTCCTACCAGATTGCACGCATGATCCTGCTAGCCAAGGTTATTCTAGAACAGACGCGAGCATCGGTGATAATTCTGTAATCTTCTACGATTCAGGTATCAAAGTAGGCTCGTTCTGCCGGTGATCAGATTACTGACGGCCGATCACTGTGTGGGCAGCTATCAGTGTACAGGACGCATTTTTTTTGCTATTTGAGTTTGATTCTCTGGCCACAGGGTAGCTGAATTAGTGATCTTGTAAATAAAAGTGTTTCTGTACCTTTTTTACCGTCATTACCATGTGACATGACCATCTGCATGCCAGTGAGTTATGATGTCTAAGCAGAAGTGGAGGTTTATTTTGAATACAATGTATATGTAAAATTAAAGCGAAGGACATTTTGTATTCACTTTGAAAAAGGTACCCACGAAGTGCTCCTACAGTAAACAAGAATATGCTCCCGTCGGTGCCTGGTTCATTTAGAGATGGGCACAAACTGAAGGCTAACAGCTGCAAGAAAACAAACTTTCGACACAGATTCCGTATATAGGCTAATGTGGTACAAATGAGCAGTGTCTATACAATACACCTGCCTACTTGGTCTGAAAAGCTTTCGTTGCCAGTTATAAACATTTTTTAGGGGTTCGCCACTCATATGTCTGTGTGGTATACCTGTGCGGTATCCGTGCATTCATTATGCCACCAGACACTTTCTGTACGATTCATACAAATCGCCTAACAAATATCTTGAAGTTTTATTTTCTTCCGCCTTCGTTATTTTTTTTTTCAAACTAGTGTTATTTCGCAAATGCTGCAAACAAATAAGATAGTCAAGCCGTGGACGTTATTGCCGTTCTAGAGACTCTTTTAGGGTGCTATATTAATGGTATCTGGACTTTATAGCAAAGCTACTTTGGAGTTACAAATAGCCTGAACACGACTGATACAAATGGGCAGAAAAAGAGCTGCGTGCCCGATTGCAGCCTCTGTCGTCCGTAGCTACACTGCTGTTCGCCGAGTCGCGAATCCGCGCTCGCCTTTCCGCCAGCGCCAGCGCATTCCAGCGTCACTTCGCGAATGCGATACCGGCGCGAAACGGCAACAACTGCCGAGCGTCGAAAGGAGCCAGGCGCAGCAGTGGGCGAAGAGCCGCTTCGGAGGCCGCTGAATAGCGGCGGCGCACAACTCCAGGGGAGCGCCGAAAAAATGTTTCGCCGTAATCGGATTCCACTCGTCGTAAACGGCATCATTTTTTGATCAACGCGCCGGGCCTATTGCCGCGACACTCGCTGGGACGTTGTTGCGAGCTATAGAGAACGCGCTGCGCTTCTATATAGGCGACACAATGTGCCGAGGGAGTGAGTGGTCGTGTTTTCCAACTCGCAGTAGCGTAGAGAATAACTTTCTCGTGTAGGTACGTTTTGTCAACTATGTTGTTTTGTGCATTTCATAACTGTGTACTTTATTACTTTTCGTATGTACTTGTTTCGTTAAGAAGAATTCGGCAACCCTCGCTACCTGTCTGCCGATGAGAAACAAGGGTAGCCAACGTCACACGGAGACCAAGTGAACGCAGAAGCAAGGTGTTCTAACGTGGAGCGAAAACGGGGTTATGCTCATCGACGTGCGATTACAGTTTTCTTTGTGGTTTTCATCTCTGTACGTCTATTTATATACGTTCCGTGGGAACCGTTCTGTTAGGATATGTTCGGGCACAAATTTAAAACGCGTCGCCGACGCGTACGAAGAAACGAGAATCGAGACCACTCTGCTCGGGAAGGTGCGTGACCGGTGGTGCTGAAGAACTCCCGTTTTTGCTCAACTCGTCATAAGCACGCTGCTGCTCCTCGAGCGTCCCCGTAATACGCGGTCGGCCCATGCTTCAGTGGACGCCAGTTCCAACGTAGACTCGATCAACGTGGTGAAGCATGTACAAACTGCTCTTTATCACTTAAATTCGTTACTTCTTCCACTGCTACCTAAGCGAATCAGGAACATTGGTTCAATATTTCGATACACACATTTGAACTGATGAAACATTGGTGTCCTATAAAAAGTGGTGGAAGAACTAATGCATAAAAGTTAGTTCCTTCTGTTCTCTCTGGAGGGCACTAAAAGTCATTGCACACGGACAGCTCTGCTCAAGAAAGAGAAGAGGCTATTGGTTACGACAGTGCTACTTAGGTGCATGATTCCATCAGATGCCTTCCTGAATAAACAGGATGCGAAATGAAACAAAGAGGCGCGCGTTGTAAAAAACGTTCGAGATACGTTTATTTACAAACACTTAACGTGACGTATAAGGCAACAGTCTTCAGGCAACAAGTATAGTCCCCGCTCTACTTTAAACATTGAAGCTGTCAAACCAAAAACAAGTCATTCGTTGAAATATGTTAAATAACCCGTACCCGGACAGCACGAATGAAATATGTTTTTTTTTCAGCCGTATAGCCGTTATATGCTCGCTTTAAACATTGTAGAGCCGATTAGTTGTGAGCATGACTGAACCAAACAATTCACCTGGTTAACATCTGGGTCTATTATTTGTTGTTTTCTGTCTATATTCGTACGTTGTAATGTCATTTGCCTGATTTACTATTTAGTCCACGCTGTGGCTATTGTTGTGAATATTGGTTCGAATGAATGACCCTGCTTTATTCGAGAATGATTATATCTGAATGTACGCTCACCTTATGCTTGCGATAGCAGAAATATTTTGAATTAATATAAGCGTTTACATTGTCAATCTATACATACAAATCTGTCTCCTCGTATAAACGCAGTGTTACGTCAGCCAAACACATGAGCCTTAATATAATTAACAAAATCGTTTGTATTAGAGTCACACATTATGTAAACAAGTGTCGTTTTGACCATAGTCCGCCCTTCCCACGCCATAGAAAAAACCGGGTATTAACTGCGAACAATGCGCTTCTAACGTTTCGCTCTCTTCACAGGTTATTATTTTGACACATCGGTAACTACACGCCGAGCATACGAACTCCTTTTGTTAAAGCATATAACTCGGCGTACTTCGGAGCAGTACTTGAACGCTGGCCTGATCTCCTACTTTCGAAGCCTTGCCGTGGTTCATCACAATGTTCCTAAACATCTTGTCACCCTGGTTGTTCTTCTTCTTCCACTCTCACATATGACGCGTGCCCATGTGCACCTTGCACATTCTCTAAGCTCGATCGCAAACGCGCCAGCTTGATTCTCGGCGTACGTATATAGTTCTGGATTTGGCTGAGGTTTGTTCACTTGCAGACGCTGTCGTCCGCTCGGCACTGCCCATCCGGCTCGGACAGAAACAACACACCAGTCTGGCAGACACAAAGTTGAAACACGTTCTTGTACGGGCTCCCGATGACGCCGGCAGCGGAGTCTTGAGGTTCTGGAACACGATGCGTTCCGAGTCTAGAAGATCTGCAACGAAAAAGAACACAGCGAAAGTAAGGCGCATTTGTTTTTTCGCATTTGTAATTCACATTCCCGGACAACAAATAGGCAGTAGAATTTAAGTTACCACTTCGTGTCATCTTAGGCTTTCTCCATTGTGCATGTCCTCCTCTCTCTTTCTCTATTTCCCCTCTTCCTCATTCCCCTCTCACCCACCTGTAGGGTAGAAAACTGGACGTATTCTAGTTATCCTACCCATCTTTTTCATATTAGTTCTCTCTCCTTCGAATAGATTGCGAGTGGTTATTTTTTTTACACATAACCAGGAGTTTATAAGTGACCAACTTCTGAAATTTTACGATACAGCATTCGTTCCTTCTCATTCATGTGTGTTGCACTGCCAGTCACTCATTTTTTCTCTCTACTGACACAAGCACCTCTTCCCTTTCCTTATTTTACACCCCTTTTTCGCCTTCGCAATCGCAGGGTAGCAAAGCGGCGTCTTCTTTGGTTAACGTTCTTCTCCCTCTTTATTTTTTCTCTCTCTTATTCCTTAGCAGTTGCAAGAGCATTCATTTTTAGACGTGGCTCTGCTGCACTTGTGAAGATAAACGCTACAAACGTGCGCAGTGTTCTTTTGACCAACTCTTTACCAAAATTACCACACTGACATACATTGTGCCAGCCTCGATTTTTATGTACAATAAGGTTAATCATAGCGACGTTTCTCTAACGATGTGGGCATACATACTGATTTGACCAGCTTGAAAAGCAATGGGAATTACCGTAGTGCTTACCTCGCCTTGTCTTGACTGGAGAGTAAGGTTCCGGTGACAGGCGACACTGATGTCTCCGGCTTTGGACTCCACAAGAACGCCTTGCGGTGCCTCTACTTTTAGTCTTCGGGTAGGTGACTCAAGCCTAAATAGTACACGTTGACAGTTCCAAAATTAAACGTTTTTTCAAACTTTTTTCCATGCAAAAAATTACTTTGTCAGTTCACGAGCATGCCTGATGTCTCAAGTCTGATAATCTGATCTCTGTCAGCGACCCTTAACTTATGCTATCCATGCATGACGTCATTTAATAGCCTCTCATGTAGGCAAACGTCAAGCAACGCAGTTACACACACAAAAAAAATGAACGCGTGTTTTACGTGGGTCCGCCAAAGTTTATTTTCCTAGACTGTCTTTCATCGCATCATTGTTTCCAGTCGAATGCTGGAAAACTTGAGTTCGCCGCTTTCGATCTACGTCTAGTAAATTAGATATGACGTTAGGCACATGGTGTTCTCTTTTCTTCTTTATGATCGTTTGTGAACTGTACGTGAACTACAGTTGATAACAGCACTTACTTAAGCTGCTTGTATGTCTCCGGAGCGAACTAATGGTAGTCTGCACCGATCCGTCGAACCTTACGCCTCCAGGACCTGAAAAAGACAAGTTGAAAGAGATCTGCTTAGTTTCGTGGTGCGTTTTCAGGAGGAACCTACGTGATAATAGTCCCTGTCACAGGACAAACTAACGAAACATGTAATGATGTAGCCGACTTTACAGCAACGCTTTCTAGGCTCGTTTGACAAGGCGAAATTCTAGTTTTGATGAAGGTCAGCATTTTAGGTTGACTTACTCGTTAATTTTATCGGCTTTATCTATACGCCAATCACCTGTTGAAAATAAGGCACACATCACACTAGATAACTAATAACCTAAATAATGCAAAGGATGTTGTAAAATAGCGAGTCACATGTATGGTTACAGACATCAAGTTAACATAGTGGCTTCCTGTGCGTCATTGTTACTTTCGCAAACAATAACTGATACCATACATTCATGAGGACATATTTTATTTAATGTAAAAGTCATGAAACAGTGTTTTTTTTCTTTTTTTTACTCGGTCGAGTGCTATGTAGTGCTTCTGTGGCAGCCGCTTGCGAATGAAAGGCACAGGCTATTCACGTGGAGCTGCTTCCCATTTCATAATAAACGGCGTGGGTTATCGAGCAGAATAACGAAAAAACAGTAATCTTAGCAACGTCCGTTATTTACCGAATCACACGCACGATAAAACCTGTTTTCAAAAGTGAGTGAAATGCGACAAAATATTTGCTCAAATGCACCCTCTGCGGATGAAATTTGAACATGAGCGGTGTCTGGATGTTTTAGTACACCTTATTTTGGTATTCCGACACTGAATATCTGCAGGGTATTCTTCGTTTCTCTATAAGCAAGCTGTATTCTCGCTCGTAGCCCTCAGTATCAACAAAAACCCTGAAACGCGGCCCAATTCCTATCTTTTCAAAAGAGAACAAAAGAGTGCGGTAATGCTTACCAGTGACTTTTAGAGAGTCCGCTGCCACCGTAACTTCATCATCGGCAGCCCGAAATAACAGCTTTCCCCTCGAGTCACGAACTCTAAACTCGTCGGCGAAGGCTTCAACGATCGAATTTCCTGTAGTAGACACGATAGACCATACATTGTGTCACGAATTAGAAGTAATATGCCTGCAAACAAAACGCAGGTATACATATTTTTTTCTATTTTTGCTTTGCTTCCCCGAAAAATAGCTAAATAAAATCACGGGAAACGAGGACCCGAGTGCACCACGGCGCTTACACTTTTGACTCCTCGCACATGTAATGCCAAACCTGGAGAGGCCACGTCCTACAGTTTAGGAGCAACGGCAATAAACATAACAGTTGCAATCGAAGGAGTTATCGCATTTACAAATGACGCAATTTCCATTGGCGCCACTGCAAGCAGAAATGAGAAAATCGTATAGAGAGAGCAGTAATTCTAAAAGGACATGTTTACGACGTATGCTCTGACGTTCTTCACTTTACCCTTTTTTTCTTCGCTACAGTCCAACATACTTTTCATTCGAGTTTTCGTTTTAATCTCAGTATGAAATTGTGCGAATGTACTGCCTTGAAAATTAGCCATAAAGTTTCTTACGCCTGAAGATGGCACGAAACTGACACTGACAACCGACGTATATTTTCATAAGCTCAACTATAGCCTGAACCTATTCGCCTTACCGTTTTGTGATAGACACTTCGCGTCAATCATTCAATCAATCGGATTATAATGGGGCAGAAACTACCTGACGTATAAGTTCTTTGGCTCGATGATTCGATACGTGCATCGCGACAAATTTTGCATTATCATGGAAGCAGAAATTTGCGTGGGTTCCCGCTTAACAAACGTGTCACATGCGTGTTCATGACAGTTTCTATGGCTTTTAAATATTTTACCGCGCTGAGCATTCACACTGGACTGATTTGCTGTTTCGTATTACTACTGTTTAGACGACGACACCACCTTAATGTTCCTACAAAACTGCGAAGTGTGGGGCAACATGGCATTCCTAAAACTGGGATATTAACGCGAATGAAGCATAATTATTCTGCTGGGCTAATTAAAAGACTAAGATTTTTTTAGAAATGATATTTCTTTCATACAATAACTACAAAAACGCTGATGCGCAGCCTCATCTGCATGCTGACAACACTCGTTATGGATGCATGTGTGTGCTCTTTCTTCATACCACGTAAAACTATCGAGTTCATTAAAGAAATGAGATAGCACAATAAAATCAATTCATAGTGTTACCGCATAATGTTGCCAACAATAAATAGTAGGTTAGAGATCGAATTTGCTCACCTATAAAAAGTCTATTAGAAATCTGCCCTTGATTATTTCGGGCATTGAGCGTAATGTTCTTGGAAGACTCTATGTTGAGGGGCTGTTCCTGTAAATATAACAATCATTTGAACACATTAGTAAATAATTTTCAAGCAGAAGGAAGTTACAGCACACTATAAAAATAACTAATATAAGACGTTCTTGACCAAAAATTTTGATCGATACCAACGTTTATAGAAAAAAAAAGAAAAACAGGGATTCATGTCGGGTTACAGTACGACAAAGAGACCTTCGACAAGAGAACACGTCCAAACGTTCATTGTAGCGACATTCATTCTTTAGGAACAGTGTGAAAAGTAAAAATATACACTTAACTAGATTGCAAAAAAATCAAGAAAGAGAAAGGGAGCAATAACACGTAGAACACTGACCGAAACAAAAATAAAAACTAAACAAGCTTTTGCTTTTTTTTATTTTTATTATATTATTATTATTTTATTTTTTTATTATTTTTATTGAAGCTAAAACGTCAAATTTTGTTGACGTTTTCTCTTCAATGCGGAATCTTTGTTCACTTTAATGATGCAGAGGCAAGTTGTAGGTTCTTATGTACTTTTCAGAACATCACGTGAACATTGCATGTACGCTAGGAGAAGGGTTCCCCGACTTCTATTGGATGTCTGATGTGTCGTTTGTGTCTCCAGCGACTTCAGATAAAGCCTCCGGAGACACAAAAGACACATCACACAATCAATAGAAGTCAAGGAACCATTTCGCCATCGTACACACAATGCGTACATTATGTGCTTTTCTGAAAAGCACATGGGCACTTGTAACTTGCCTACGCACCGTTAAAGTGAACAAGGCTTCCGTAGTGAAGTCGAAACGACTTTTACTCCTTTCTAAGTTGCTTTCATACATTTACTTTCATACTTTTGCTTTCAACAGCGCAGTTAAGTTGACAAACTAAAAGTGTACACTCCCAACGACGTGAAAAAAGTTCTATTCCCATTCTCATCTCACGCACGCAGAGTTATCGAATTTGCTGCTTCCTGCGGCCCAAAATCTTGGCACGATGCGCGTGTTTCGAGTATGCGAGGCAGCGAATATAACACGGATGAGTTCACCTGCGTGAGTACGCTTCAGAGGTTTGTTTCGTACATTCGATACTTCGTACAATTTATCTTCCACTCTCTTGTCTTGTAGTTAGTCTACTACGCTCACTGACCTGTTCCGACATTGACCACGAAAGAAAATAACACAAGTTCGCGGCGGTCAACACGCTCAAACAACCCACGTGTGGGCGTGCTCTAGCAAACAGAAAATGAGACACGTGATCACCCGGATGCTTGTCGAAAGGCCTTACACTCACCGAACGCATTCCCGAAAGCAGGACCCACACCGGTGGTCGTTACCAAACAGAACATACTAGCGACATAAGAGTGCGCTCTCGCACAAACGCACGCACATATGCACGACCCGCAGGTTAAGGGCTTAATGAAGCTTGCGCGAGGTGCACCGTGTCGTAGGCTTAATGAGACCCCACTGATTGCGTGCCAGCCATTATTAACGGCACTGCCACACGGTGCTCTCTCTCTCCCTCTCCTACGCCCTATACCCTCTCTCTCTCTCCCACCACTTCTCTCGCCCGCTCGCTACGCGCGCCCCTCTACAACAGGTAACCGGTGATGATCGCGGCATACCATTAACGCCTACGGGTCGAACCAAATGCGCGCGGACCATGGGTGCGGGAAGATGGGGTGAGGGTGGGATGGAGGGCTTCGAAGGTGGCTTGCCGCGGAGAACCATTCGTTCCTACAGCCGTTCGTGCGTTGTCGTCACGAGTGGTTTGCCCCACGGTCTATACGGCAGCCACGGTTCTCGTTAGGCGCGAGTAGGAAACGTGCTCGGGGAGCGCCCTTCTCTACGCCAAGCATTCCGATATGTTAGTCCTCTTCGTTCTCTTCCTCGGGATGTAAATATACGAAATGTGCGCGGACCTCACGATCATGCGGGAAGGAGGCGGTTCGAACGAAGCGTTTTGTGCGGGCGTGTTTATCGATGGTTTTGTGCGCAGGAGACGCATTAAGTGTGCCGCTGAGAAATTGAGCTGCTGAGTTGTGGCGGCGTAAGTTTGCGTAGAGAAGAATGTGTGTGTCGTATTTGAAGGGTATACTATAGTGGACCCAAGGAGACATTTGAATGGGCGTTTTGTCTAAACTGACCCGCAACTCAGTTTCAATGTTCCAGAAACCACAAGTTCTAATAGGCATCCGTGTAGATTACGAGCCTGTAATTACCCTAAAATGCGACGTAATTTTAAGATCACGCAGAAGTGTGCTACTTGTTTGTAAGACCTTTCAGGTACACAGACTGTACGCAGACTGACATGACAAAAAAAACCATATAGGTGTCGGATATATGTATTTCTCAAAGCATCTCCAAACTCTCATATATAGCAAACAAAATGGAAACGTTTACTTTGCAGCCCGGATTCGCACCTTAGATACGCAGTCATCTTTCTGTGGCTATATTCATATTAAAGACAATAAATGCTCAAGACACGCTCTTACCGAATATTTTGCCAGTAACAACCCTGATGACAACCACCCCAACAATACCATTTTTAATATTCTGTTATTTTTTCGCAAAGTATAATATCACCAGAACGCAATGCTTTTACTGAAACCATGCCCCGATTGGAGCGAGCACACACAACCAGGAATGGCTACAAGCATCCAAAGTCAAGTCAGTGATGTGACCTAAAATTCCTCTTTCAAGGGGGTTCGTGGGCCAAACATTTATTTCTAAGGTCTACGCTGGTTACAGGCCCTAGAGAAATTACATGTAAACAATGCTTAGCGAATATTGCTGTTGATTCAAACATAGACGCGACAATGTCTCGTAACGAGGAATCGCACAGATGCGCACACTTACCCTCCTTGATCGTATTTGCGCAGCGTATAGAGAATTCAGAAACTCTGCTTCTCCCTCGAGCCGGACACCACGCTCCACTATGCGTAGTCGGCCCATGCCATCCTGACGATCAAACAGAGGCCGAGTAAACACAAGTGGGGACAACAGCACGTCAAAAATATGATTGCACTGATTTAAAAAAAAAGCTGACGCGAACGTTTCACAACAAATCATAGCGCTGATGCATCATGGAGACTCCACCATAAATTATATGCGCACTTTTTTCGCAATTTTCGTTACAACCTAGAGTGCAGGGGAGCATCTTGCCTTTGTATAATATGCACTCTGCCTTGAGGATGGCTCGACGCAGGCGCGAAGACTCGAGCCGAGCGCTGACATTTGACTCTGTTTTATGCAATAACCGATTGTTTATCATTAATGGTTACTTAGCACTAATTGAGGGAGGATCGCATGCTCGCGATCCTGATAAGAAAACAAGCCGCATGACAGTATATAGGGTTGTAGTGGGACTTTCATTCAATTCTTTCGTTTGGTTCTGGGTCATTATTAATTTTAGTTTCCTGTTCTTGTTGGTATAAGGTTTGCAGTATAGCTGGGACATATCAGCTCTACTGAACTTTCGACGCAGTTTAATATACAGAGTCCTACTGTCACTTAGGCCTATCAAAGTTCAGTTAATGTTGTTACCTCGTATACCTGTCGAATTATCGTGTTTTAAGCAAATTACGTCTCCACCCTGACCATGGCACGTTTGTTGCTATAGCGGGTGCTACAAAATCCCTCCAGTAGAAATTAAAGGTGCCCGTTTTAGCAAAGAGAGCACGCACTGCTCACTCACCAGCGAGAAATCAAGCACCCTGAGCACCCACACCGTCAGCGCCACGTTCATGATGACCATGGCGAACAACAGCGTGACCAGCAGGTACAGACAGCGCTTGCGCCACCCGTATATGCCCACCTGCATTCAGGATGCCACAAACAAAAAAACGTCATGTAATGCCCACAGGATTTATTTAGCTGGCACATCGCCGTTTGGGCCGGCCATTGTGCTACAAGACTCAATGCGGTTAACACACCCACATGAACACGCGTATACGGGCGACGTCAATAAATGTGCGAAGTGTGTGTGTTGCGACAACTGGATTGTAACTCTTGGATTGATTGACGATTGATAGATATGTGGGGTTTAACGTCCCAAAACTACTATATGATTGTGAGAGACGCCACATTGGAGGGCTCTGAAAATTTCGACCACCTGAAGTTTTTTTTTAACGTGCACCTAAATCTGAGCACACGAGCCTACAGCATTTTTCTCTTCCATCGAAAATGCAGCCACCGCAGCCGGGATTCGATCCCGTGACCTGCGGGTCAGCAGCCGAGCACCTTAGCCTTTAGAACACCACGGCGGGGCAGATTGGCACTCTTAGAGTGTAGTGCCAAAGCTTAATGTTGTAACTCTAACCAACCAGTGTTTTTTGTTCGTTTAAAGTGTCCACATTTTATTTAAATAGTTTAGGAGTTAAGATACTGGGTACGCTTTTACAAAGATTACTGAGTGTCATCGAGTCGCCGTTCAATCGAATTCATGAGCTGATATGTGTTTTCAGAAACACTTCATAAGTGATAAGGCTGCACCCACTGACTGTAACAATTATTAACAGGTATCGGTTGTTAATCTTTTTTCTCGCGCACATGTATTTATAGTTAAACTGACACCATAATCAGGCAGAACAAAGTGCAAAAATTGAAGTACGAAAGAAGACTGATCCCCAAACTGAGTTTTTGTTTTGTCAAACTATGGCAATAATTTTCTAAACTATGCTGAAACTTACGCAATATTACTTCGGTGTTGCAGAATCATTTACATTCTGCCTTCGCTCTTTCCGTAGACGTTCCTAGAAGTTACAAATGGACAGCGAGCACAATGGTAATGTACAAAGTTATTTGCTTTTTAAAAGATGTTGTCATTGTACCATGTGATTACTTTCCCGACGCTGGTGGTACAGCGCAGTAATAAATACTTAATCACAGTATTCACCATTGTACCATAGTTTCATAACTATGGAAGCACAACATACTCATTCTTGGGACTTCTTGCGCAAGGAGCCCGCTGCACTGGCCCAGTGTAATTGACTAGAGTATAAAGTTGGGCATGTTGGTAAGACGTAGTTGATCGACGTAGCGCGTTTAGAAACATAGGACAAGGGAAGGGACAGAAGGGAGCGAGAACCACTGGCCCAGTGGTTACGGTACTCCGCTGATAAACCGAAGGTCGGGGGTTCGATCACGGCTGTGGCTGTCGTTTGTCGATTTAGGTGGAATTCTAGAGACCCGTGTGTTGTGTCATGTTATGAATGTTAAAGAACACCGGGTGGTCAAAATTTTCAAACACCTCCACCGTGATGCCTCTCGTAATCATGTCGCACATTTAGGACGTAAAATGCCGGATATTATCAATTCGCAAAGACTGTTTTTCAGCTATTGTGATCTGGTACCGTGATCATTAGCTTTGGAGCGAGTTTTCCAATAATTTGAATAACTGCTTTGAGAATATCGTGCACATAAGAGCCTGTTTGCACAATTCGATTTCACACCTGTCTTTGCGGAATCATTGTCATCTGCAGAATATGATTTTCCAATAAACGATAGGTTTCGTAAACAAAGTGCTATAGCTCAGTCGTCCCTTTAATATGTCGTACATGCCGCCGGCAGCTATCAAAAAACCTGTATTTTGACATTTGGGTGCGTTGATAGCATTGATGAAGATCCGAAATTCCCCAAAGACCCAAGAAATCCTAAAACTTTCGTTGTGGTAAATGAACCTTCAAACTCTCATTTCATTTGTCCTAAAAATTATTCAGCACTATATTTCGATCAAAAAATCAAATGTACGTTAGTGTAACGACACGTTACAATTTTTTAAATGTAACTGTAACGAGTTCCTTTCGCATCTAAGGAACTTGTAACGGGAACTCCTTCCAAAATTGGGAAGGATCGAGGAATCAGTTCCTGTTCTAGAGAAACGTACACAGCACTGAATAAATGTTATACTGCCTCCTGCATTCGCCTAAGATGACTCGGAGGAAAAAGACCATGAGCACGGAATTTCCCTTCTTTGCCCCCTATGTTTCACGCTTTCGCAGCGATGGAATGAGCGGCCTGCGAGTGCCGGATCTCTAAAATTTATAAATAACGCGGATTCTTTCAAGACTTTGTGAACGACGTTACTGCGCAGTCCTCACTCATGAAGCCACGAGGAGTGCTGGCTTACATGCTTTCAAGGGGGGAAGCTCCTAAAGGCGTGTGTGTGTCCATCCCTTGTAAGTATGTTGTTGTTGTTGTTGTTCTCCTATTGTTAGTGGCGCATACCCACTGTGGGAGATTGGCCAAGAATCGAGTGGCTTTAAAATTTACTGTTCAGGTTTAGAATGATGGAGGTATAACAGAAATATTACCGATAGCCTATAGGCAAGTGTGGTGCTTAATGTAATGCATACAAATATTTACATAAACAACTTTATTCTTATAATAGAGCAATAATCTGATTTTATACGTATATAATTATGTGAACATGTTAAGATAATGAAACTGGTTAATTAGTCAACCTATTAGTTTCATCAATATAGTCCCGGACGGCCGCGCATACTGTGCCATTACAGAAACCAGAAATGGAAGCTCCAAAAGACAAAATGACAGGCAGAGATAAGTCCATACCAATGCCACGCAAAGGTATTTATGTACGTGACCGCCCATAGTTCCACTTTTGACAACTGCCCACTATCTCGTCCTTGCTAACACCCCACTACGACCTATCACCGATCCACCACTTCACCGATTATGAAGCAAATACTGTTAAGTAGTCAATATGAAATGCAAGATGGTCGTGTACTTGTATCCAGGTGCGCGCTAAAGAACCATCGATTGTCCCACTGTGTCCATCCTTTATTGGTAAGTGACAACCGATATTTCCACCTTTGCAAATGCCTGCTACTTCGTGCTTGCAAACATCTCACTACACCCCATCACCAATCCACCACTTCACCAACCATAAAGCCGTTATAATGAAGGGGGAACGGAAGCGCGACGTATAGCCACAACTTACAAATAATATATATTTTTGTATAAATATATACAATGTTTGTCACGTCTTTGGTGGTGTAGTGGGCGATATTCGCGGATGGCTCACGGTTTAGCGATGAAACCTTCCAGCGCTTAGCCACTCTCATCATCATTCACTCCGTGGATATGCTGTGAGATTTTTTTCTTTGTTTCGATCTACGGAAAAATTCGTGTTATCGCCGGTCACCTATTTCGTTTTTAGATGCGAAGCAGCTCTTTCACTTGCCTGTGTAACGCCGTCCCTCTATGCGTTCGCATGAACATGCCGCATTGCTCTTATTTCGCGGCAGGTGTTGGAGTGGTGCCAAGTAGGTCAGACCACCGCTGCTCGTTGACGACACGCTCACTTTACAGTGCGCGCTGACGTCACTCTCTTCCTCAACTGCCGCGCGCTCACCACAGTGTTCGCAGCGGCCGCCTCGTCCGTTAACCCGTGGGAGCCTTTACACGCGCTACCCGCACAGCCGCAACGCACGTACCGGGACCCCTGCCACACGCAAGCGGGGGACAAATAAGCCAATTGGCGACGCTCTTTCAGCCTCCGCAGCGTCGCCAATTGGCTTATTTGTCCCCCGCTTTCGCGTGGCAGGGGTCCCGGCACGTGCGTTGCGGCTGTGCGGGAAGTGCGGGGAACGACCCTAACACCTGACGCTACCACTGGTCGCTTCGCTACCGCGACCGCCACTAGCGATTTTCGCAGCGTTCACCGCAGCACCCACGTTAGCGCCGTTCCACTCGTGAGGCCAATCGTGTGCAAAGCTGCTTCGCATCCCATCAGATTTCCAGAACCTCTGGAAAGGTCGTGTGACTTTTTTTTTTCAGATATCTAAGTCTTTCATTTTGAGAAATAAATGGCGATGGGTAGAAACGAGAAAAAAAGCGATACTTCATAGTTCTTTACCTATAGTATGGGCATGAGCACAAAAGAGCGGGAGGGGGGGATGCAGACGGGCAATGGCTGTGTCCGTCCGGCCTGTGTATGGACGATATAGTACAAACGGAGTGCGCATTTCTTGGTTTCATGTTACGAGAAAGCTTTGCGTGTTTTATTTTTCGCTTTAATTGCAGGACACCTTGACGTCTACACATGTTTAGTTGTATCTACGGCTCAGCCTTCATCAAAAAGAAAGAAAACTCCAGAATTACGCCCCTCAGTAATGAAATTCGCGATGTGTAAGAACTCAGAATTTTCACTAGCGTTGTGTGTAATCGAGGTTTTTTTGTGAACGTTAAAATAGCCAACAGTTGAAACAACTGGTACGTATTTAAGCTAAAAACTGGGCATGTAAACACAAACACAAGAGAGAAATCAAGACTTTGTTAACGTCAACATTTTTTTCTTAAGTTCCCTGTCGCGATTGTGTTTGCGTGCCCTGTAATTGAATAATGAGTAATTAGTAATTTCCAGCTGGCATGAAAAACACGCAATAAGAAAAAGGAGGGGATTGTTTTCTATTTCAATTTAAAAAGATTATTTTCTGTAGTGTCTTTTTTGTGCGACTGCTCACCAGTCAACGATTTCCATAACGGCTGGTACGAAAAAGAAAAAAAAACGAAAATTCTTAATATCTGTTTTGCAACGGTTTGTATCATAGTGCCTATTGTATGGTTGCAGATGGTCTAACGTATGCTATCCGAAAAAATGCACCTGTAGAGTCTGACAGGAAAAACGAATTGAAACAAACATAGCCTCTTCCCTACAAATCTGTGCGCACCCCTGTGGCGGTGTGTGCCCAGCAAGCGAACATATCGTCACTCACCTGCTGCTTGTGTACTAAGGTAGTGACCCCAGCATCCTCGTCGTGGCAGGCGACGAGGTCTTCCGCCACCACAGCGTCGACGAAGAGGGACGAGCGGCGCTCCCACGCTGAAGGACGGCGCGGACCTTCCCACACCGAGGACCGGCGAGAGCCCGTGCCCGTTACCGACGGCGGGGTGACCGTCAGCGATGGAACCAGAGGACCCGCCACCCCGATCGCCGACCCGGACGACGACATGCTCACCACCGGCAATCACCTGCGCAAGAAGAAGGAGGGATCAATTTCTCAAACTACCTTCTAAAATATCTTCACACAGAGTCAACTGCCTAGCTTATTATCTACATAAATATTTTACAACGAAAGCTGTTATACCATCGCAAATAAATTCGTTTTTGGTGCCGTAGTTATCCGCCGTCGGTGTCCTTAACCACTTCGCGCGACATAATAAACTAATTAATAAAAAATGGCAGCCTATCCATGGGGTGAATGATGGAGAGTGCGGCGAAGCATCCGTCCGTCCATTCGTTCTTGCTTCCGTCCGTCCATGCGTCCGTCTGTGTGACCGTCTATGCGTCCATCCGCCCGTCCGTGCGTGCGTTTGTTCGTGCGGCCGAACGTCCATCCGTGCGTCCGTACCTGCGTTCGTTCATGCATCCGCCCCTGCGTCCGTCCATGCGTCCGTCCGTCTGTGCAGCCATCCGTGCGTACCACCATCTCGCATCTTATCATATAATCCCCATATAGAAGCACCGCCATCCAGCGGACATTCTAAGGAATAAACGAGAGGTGGCACACGCACACTTTATTACGGCTTGAGCTTCGTTTCTACTTCCCACCTTTATCCACCTCGAGGTCATGGTATATACTAGTTCACTCTATTCATGGCACTGTGGCTCAACGGTCGCTAAACCTTTCTAAAACTAAGGAGGTTACACCCAGCGAGTATAACGTAGCAACCCTTTCTTGTCAGATAGTGCTCAATGTACATGCCAATGGCTGCTAGTGGGAAATTAGAGACAGGAAAATTCGGCTTTTAGTTAACGCGCACGCTACGAATTTTTTATTGTTCAACAACGCACAGGAGAAATCTCCCACCGGCACCACTTTGCAGGTCAAAGCGTAAGACTGGTTACGCACTATCACTAACACGAGGGACGAACGGGTGCCGCTTTAAAGAGCTTCGCCCCTAAAAAACACGGAGAACAGATCGGGATTTGAGTCCGACACCCCTGCGTGCCAGCCCAGTATCCTATCGCTGAGCTACGCCGGTGCTAGAAACTCCATTGCAAACTGGTCTTAGCCAGGCATCACGTCGGGTAACAAGCCCTTTTAATACGTGTAATAAAGCGTTTTAAAGCAGCAAGGGAACAACCAGGCATAAGGCAATGTGAATTGCTTAACGATTGGGTTGTATATTGCTCCCACATATTACGAAAGCCTGCAGGCATAATTCTGCATCGTCGTGAGCCACAGCGTCAACAAAATGCACATTTCTTGCAAGTTTGTAGTGGGTACCACGCTCCTCTGATGAGTGGCACTGTGGATGGCTCTCTAATACACAAGAATTATGATGATTTATGGCTCAGTGGCTAGCTATGGCTGTTCTCCAAAGAGTGTTTAAAAAGGGCTCTGTAAATATTGCTCTTATAGCTTTCCTTGTGACTGAACTACGCGTTTCACGCAGACCTGGCGGTTTTTTATGTTATCATTATGATGTCACGCGGGAAGTTTATTCGAGAATTCTGAAGGGGTGGTGACGTTCATTGTCCATCTTCGCAGGCTTTATGTCATAAGATTAAACTGGGACAAATGTTATCTTATGATCTCCAACTCCAACAGTGTAACCAACTAATCGAGGTTAACTGAACGTATGTCCATGACTCCCTCTTCAGCGCATCTGTAATCCCATGACCTCCGCAAACTCGTGCGCACGCAACCCGATCGTAGAGCCTTTGACCGTAAACCCACCTGGCGTCATGCTTCTGCATGAGTCACCTTTATTATGCGGAACCTGTCTTTCGCGCATGAATGATGCCAAGCTATGTAATGAGCCCAGAGACAAGTACAAGAGGTTCAGTTTAAGAAATATTTTTAGGGAATGAAGAAAAACCGCGAGTTAAGTAAGGAGAATGGCGTCTTGTTTTCTTGATGTAAGGCATTATCGGAACACTCCTAATGCACTACCAGAACAAAAATCTCGGCTACTCACCCGCAGGTCACCGGATCCAATCGCGGCGGCGGTGATTGCATTTTCAATGAAGGCTAAAATGCTGTAAGCCCGTGTGCTCAGATTTCGGTGCATGTTAAAAAAACCCAGGTGGCGAAAATTTCCGCAACCCTCCACTACAGCGTCTCTCATAATCTTATGGTAGTTTTTGGACGTTAAACCCCACATATCAATCAACCGAGACAAGAACGGTGTTACAGAGGATGTGAATACATAAGAAATGCCGCAGGCATGATTTTGACTGGTATTTTGTAACTTATTAACAAAAAGGCGAACTAAATTGTAGGGGTTTGTTCGTTGTTTGTATTACTGGAAATCAATGGGGATTGAACAAAGCACCATAGTATTTTGCAGTGCGCTTACATTTTTTCGTGCCATGACAAGCACCGCACGCTGACATTTATTTTGTTGTGGTTGACTCATAATCGACAAACAGTTGTTTTCCAGTCGCGTATTGAATTGCTAGGACTTGTGCGAGATTCAATTTGTGACGTCACGTTATCCCAGGCTACAACAAACGTACGTGACGTAAAACAATAATAAATATGTGTTTGTTCTTGGGTAATACAATGTTGTGGACGATTTCTTTGTATTGGCGTGTGACTACAGTAACATGAAAATACCATGGTCACATGGCTGGTATAATAATAAGGAGAAGAAAAAGAAGAATATCTGGCATTAATACGATATGCATATGAGGCGTGCTGTGGTGAAGGATCCCCTGACGTGTCGGCCAATGGGGGTTCTTTAACGTGCATCTCAATCCATGTACACGGGCCTTAAACAAGTCGCCTTCCATCTGAAATGTGACCGCTGCGACAGAGATCGAAACCGCTACTTTCAGGTTAGCAGCCGGGCTCCGAAGCACTATCGATCGCCTCGACGGCTGAAGGTGTAGTGGCTAGTTAAGTAAAGCGTATCGCAAACATACATGTTATTGACACTAATATATGAGCACTCTGTAGAAAATAGACGACTTCAATTAACTCGGTTTGTCGAGGAAAACATTAGTGGATAATTGTTGTTGCCTTTCACCTATTTTCTGGACAGCTACATATTAGGGGAATAATTGATTGCCCTATTCAGTGATTAATATTGTATCGATCCGTAGCGCATATCACACCAAAGAAAAAAGGCAACGCCTGGAAACGTATAAACTCAAAACCTTTTTCTAGGGTGGCACGCGTGTTGGGACATACATAGCAGCGAGAGTAATGAAGAATGCTCGCGGGAGTGAAAATAGCGCATCAGGATAGAGAAGTGATTCAGGTCATAATTATAGACGTTGACGACGCTTAGTGTAGCTCGGCATTACGGAGTATAGATGTATTCCGTGTTTCAAGCATGCACAGTAAACATGTCGAACTATATATATATTGTCGAACGCAGGAAATACAATCAATGATAGCTGGTCATGGTTTGTACTCGCAAATCATACAGATATCAGCTGCATCACCATATTACGTAAATCACTGGTTCAGAGAGAAAAAATTGTTTTGATACAGGATTAGTTTAATATTAATTTGTTCCCAATGCTATCCAGAGCTAGAATAGCGCTTTTTTACGAAGACAGAGAGACAAGAGGGACACGACACTTGCTACACTCGTAACCGAATTTATTTCGGAAAAAAAAACACCATACGTATATAAAGTGTTTTTATTTTCTGAAAGAAATTTAGGTGGAAGAACGAATGTAGGCCAGCTTTCAACCTTATTGTACAAAGCTGGATGTTTTTGATTGAAGCACAGAGGCTGAAATCTTAGTTTGTCTGGTCATTGGCATAAATTATAATAATATACTGGTTGGCTGACGCGAGGACTTACCGCCTCACCAAGAGATTGACGAATTATAGTTAATTCTGCCTTCTGTGGCGCCGTTTTCCACAGCTCGAAGTTCCCCATGTGGACAATTGGCCCAGTTGGTGATTCATGCTCGATGCATACTACGCGGTCCATGGACTGCGCATGGACATGAACTGTGCTTGTTCATGTCTGCTTGTCATCCGTGTTCTCTACCACCGCAGCCGGAAACCCGAAGGACGTTGCGCGCTTCATGAGGAGCCACTCAAACTGAACACAAGATAAAGCAAAGCCTCGGGGCCCCATGTTGTTACTACACGGCTGTAGGATACACCGAGCAATCGCATTTAGGCCTGCTGAAAAGGCTAAATACAGGAGCCCCAAGGAGCACCGTTTACGCCATAGCAAGTGCACTTGCGCTACACCTCCGCACCTGTGACAGCCATATCCTTTACCGATAAAGCGATGAGCGAGCCCCTATATGTCGACACAGTGTTGCTAGAAGAACCTCACCTTGTAGCAGGATCAGCACCTGTCGTAAAGCCATAAACCAAGCTTGCAATGTATACCTCGAGGGACTCTGCTACGGCATCGCCACAGCGCGAGATACGCGGCAACAAACTTGCCCGATGGGACACAAAAAGCATCCGCCTCAAACTGTCACCATCTTAAGGAGATTTACGAGGCGAGTCCTTTTTTTTATTTTTCTTGCTTGGCGACAGCTGCACCCTTCCGTTCTGCGCCATAGAATCGAATGAAGACCTCGAGAGGCGTTTGATATCCGATGTGGGCGCCGTTATCGAACGCGTCATTTACGACGGAGCAGGAGAAACATTTGTTCAGTCGGTTGCCAACATTGAGTGGGAGTTTATACATGATTTGCCCGAAGACTGTAAACAGCACCAGGTCCTCGTTAATAATCGCACTCAACCACTACACTGATAGATTGGCCGGCTAACGATTCTTTCTGGTGTGGCACCCGCCGAACACTGATTTGGCTACTTCTATATGCGAACAAACAAAGAAGCTGCAGACGTCATTAGTCACCGCAAAAAGGGAAGCAAGAATGCCGATACAAAGGCTCGTTAAATTTTTTTTCGTATCTACTTTACTGCTCTTTAGATGACACAACCTTCATTAAAACCAGCAGATAGGGTTGTGTCAAAAATTAAGATTGTGTTTCATTAATGTTGTGTCAAACAAACAAACAAAAAACAAGCCATCGAAA